TGTCAGTTCATGCAGTGAATGTCTAGAGCAGTCTACCTAAAGCGGTTGTTAGTGCACTAACCTATGGACATTTTAAAAGATTACTGAATTCCTATCTGCTTGCTGCCTTTGCGTTGACAGTTGTGGTTTCTTATGAGCAATTGCCTCACAGTGACTTGCATTGTTAATGCACTGGATAAAAAGCGATGGTGGTGACAAAAGATTTTCTTCCTGCTCACTACAGCTTATTAAACAAAAAACGTCTCCATAGAAAGTAAGTAAACGCGCATGCTATTTAATCAATCGTAAAGTCGGCAATATTAAGGAGCCGATTTTTAGTTACAACACGTGCTTAAGAAAAAACTAATAGCGGGCTCCCTTCACAACACGAGTACCCAAAAGGTGTTCGTTGGAGTGACTGTTAGAGCTCCACCAGTTTCCAAATTTTGTGCCATTAGCTGTCCGCAATAGACAAATATGGGGCGAATTCTGGATACACTGAAAGCTTTTTAACACCACCTTACCATATAAAGTGAACGCAATTTTGCTTGCTAATGCCATCAACGCTAACCAGAAATCGTCTCACAAATTAGAATCATGCAGAACTAAAACCCTTAGGCTAAATTAAAAACGTCTCTTAGTGACCGAAAATCGTCCCGAAGGCACCCAATTTGAATGGGAATTGGCATAAAAACGGTCAAATGGCGCGCTAAAACGGACACTCGCACTGAATGAAATGGGGATTTTCTTAAGAAATGAAGACTTATAAGCAAAGAACGGCGGTAGTAAGGATGTATCATATTGGTTAACAACATAGCTGAACATATCACGTCTATTTTTATATACACTCGTGCCTCTAAAAGTGAACATAAACGCTTAAACGGGGCGCCTGGACGACAATCTGTGCGGACAGGGTCATGAAATTTGTCCTTTGAATAAAAAGCTTATAGTTCAAGTTCAGTTGGGACCGAAACGCTTGAATAACCCTCGTGAATGTTCGTACTTTTGCGTATAGTTGGATTAGAAATTGATAGCAATGCTTGAGATGTTGAAAAAGCCATAAAAACAGAGACCGCTCCAAAACCCATCCAACCAATCAATGTCCACATTTCCCTGCCCAGTAGTCCCTTGCAGGGCTGGTTCATGTGAAGTAACATAGTGAACGGTAGGCTAAGAAAACAGGAGGAATGCCAAGCTAAGTAATGATGATATTAAGTTGTGGGAAGAAATTAAAAAACGATGGGAAAGTTGAAGATACAAGTCGGTTAGGAGAACAGAAGGATTTGGTACTGCTACTCAAGAGCATCTAATTGACGCTCGAAACTCTCAACCGTAGATTCCTTAACGACGTACTCCGCAAGCGAGTTCTAATGTTCAGTAACCCGGCGCGACAATCAAGTTGCTGTCCTTACACCGTCAGAACGCAGATTGTGCAGCTTCAATGAGTGACCTCGGAGACTAGGCAGCTCGGCGCGACTAAAAAGCCTAGACAAGTCTGGACCGAGCTTGCCCGTTAAGGTACGGTGAGTGAGGGGCAACTCTCCTCTATTTCTGCGGTAGTGTATTGAGTACATACCCATGCTAAGCAAACGTTTGGGATACATTTTCCCCTTAATGCCTGCACTAACATTGTGCCCGCTCGCAAAACCCTCTCCAGTTTCATTTTGTCTCTTACAAGACAAGGTGAACAAGCTTGGATACAGTATTCTAAGTTGGGTCGCACAAAGGCTGAGCAAATTTTCACAAAGATATCGGCCATCAGGACACCGAAGGAGCGGCGAATAAACCACATCATACGAGACCCTCTACAAGCAGCCTTCCTCCGATTTCTGCAGTATAAAGCACTGAGGTGTGGATGATACCCAGATAAACCTGCTGAGTGAGAACAGGGATTTCACTTTCAACAACTACATAGAGCGTGGGAGGACTAGCACCTCCAATGCGGAGGACAGAACATTTCTCCTGATTTATAGGCATCAACCATAACGTTGACCAAGCCCAGAGCCTATGTATGCACTCTGAATTGCCTCAGAGCCACGAGGGATATCCACAATATACCAGAGCTTGAGATCATCAGCAAACAATAGCGTCGGTATTTCAAGCTCATGAGGTAGGTCATTGACACGAATTGCGAAAAGCAACGGCCCTAGAACCAAGCCCTGCGGAATGCCACTAAGGACAGCTTGTCTAAGCGAAAGGCTACGTCCCACTCGTAAACAGTTCTCTCCACTCTAGGAAGGCAGACACCAATTTAAGGGCGCCTCCAGATATCCCATACGGTTTAAAGTTTAATGAGATTCGTTGACGTTGGACAGTTTCAAGGGATTTTGAGAAGTCGACGAAAAGCACATCAATAGTGTGGCCTTCGTCTATTGCCTCAGCCCAGCTTTCACGGGTTACAAGTAAATTTGTCAGACACGAAAATCTCTTACGTAATCCGTGCTGTGCCGCACTGAGAATGTAAAAATTACTTACGTGATTCTCCATCGAATCCCCGAGTAATGTTTCAAACAACTTAAGTACTGTGCTTGTCACGCTGACAACCCGGGAGTTCGCGGGCAAAGCTCTGTCACCACCCTTAAAAATAGGACAGATGATCGCCTCTTTCATTCCGGAGGTAAGGTGCAACTGTCGAGCGATTTGTAAACACGCATGTGATAGGGCCACTTAACTCTGCGGGCAATTCATGCATCAGTCTCGAATGAATTGAATCAGTGTCAGAAGCTTTGGAAAGATTTAGCCCTTACAATAGCTCGAAGACTTGTATCGCGGTTATACTGATTTCAGTTAGGCAAGAATCCTCTGGGACTTTGTGACCAGCTCATTCTGAGGCAGAGGCCTCACGAGAAACGAGACCAGTGTACTGTTCGCTAACTATAGAAGCCTTATCATAGTAGGTATGCCCACGGGTCCTGTCCGCTCGTAGTAAATCCGGTATAGAGAAGTTTGTATGGCTGCTTCTCTATACGTAAGCAAGGAACTTTGGATTTATTGCGGCTGCGTCGGCCAAACCCTTCTCGTACTGAAGACAAAGAGTCATAAAATGCTGCTTACATTTATTTGTAACCGCTCGATAGCTTTCGCAGGTAATGGTTGATGAAGCCGCTTAAAAGGTTTGCTGGCAATTAGAGCGCTTGCTGAGCAAGTATATATCTGTGTGATCTATCCAATAATGGTCATATTTATTAGAGTATTTACAAAAGTGCAATGTGTAATATCACAACAGAATCATTGCTTACTTTTTCTTTTCTGCTTTTTACGCAAGATGACTCGTTGAATGACTCTGCATGCTGCGACAAATACTGATTCTCGGAAATGAGCCTTCCGGCAGTGTGATTGGCCATGCACAAAACGGCAATACTCATGCACATTCGCTGTGAGTACATATTACACATTCCAATAAGCAAGATAAGCATCAAAATGTGACGGAAAGAAATTCGCCCCATTATTACCAAGCGCAAGACGCGCACACGAGAACAATAAAAAATTTTAAAATATCGCAGAAATAATCTCACTCGTCCATAATAATCGCTATTCGCCTAAACAATAATTGCCCGCTTCTGTGCTAACTTTTAGGCTGTTTTCTTTAAACATTTTGGCACATCCACATTTTTTGTAAACAATATTGTACTCAAAACTGGTGCCAAATGCATACTGGCCCGACCTTTAGTGTTCATATTTGTTTAAGTGCACTCGCTTCAAATTTAAGGATAAAATTAGCACTTGGCAGTCCATACGATACATCACTTAGCTTATCTAGTGCAACGATAAACTATAGGGGAATAATTGGATGAGTGGCTATCTCAACGATGGCTATCCACATTTGGATATGTGTTCAAGGATCAGATACAAGGTTAGGAGTAAGTGGTGGGATAAGCGAGCCCGGCAAAGGTTCCGTTTTGAACGTCCTCCTCCTCGATCTGAAAAATGTAGCTGAGTAAAGTGTTGCTTAAATAATTACTCCTCCACTATCCTGCAGAAAGGTAAGTCACCCGAAGTAATGATACAAACAGTACCTGAAGGACCATTGAGAAGTGAATGCGAACCACAGTGTTGGGAGGCAGACAGTAGAGACTGGCGTTGCGTTACCAGCTTTTGACTTAGTCACTTTTTCGTTTGCTTAATTGTCTCCATCTTCGAACGTGCTTCCGCGTACCGCACCCAGACCCTCCCTTGTACAAAGACCGCGCTGGGCAAAATTGCTTTTAAATATGAACAGCGAAGTTCATTGTTTATAAAACCTTTGCTGCAGTACATTCAATTGATACAGGTACAAAGTAAGCGTTGCAAACAGTATTGTGTCAATAGTCTCTCAACCAACCCAATCCTGTCCTCATTACCCGTTACAGCTCAGTCAATTTCCCTGTAATGCAATGCTATATGTCCCATAAAGAATGGTCCAGATAAGGCAGAACGGAAGCCGGGAACATGCCCGGATATCTACCGGTTACACATATTCAAAAACCGCAGTGCGTTGTAAATAACACAAGTATTTTTGTGAATAGTTGGCGCAGTTATGCTCAGGCAAGCGGTCACCACACATTCAGCAAGGTGCTTGAATGACGTTTCGTCCTTATTAGACACAGCAGTAGCGCACACCCGCCGAATAATGCCGGATTCAAACTCATGACCTTACTCTTGCGAGCAAGCGGCGTTTGCCACTGAGTCATTTGCGATGGCTGCGGACCGCCATGGCGTATATCTAACTGCGACATCGAGTGGATCCTCCTCCATTGTCATGCATTTTTTAACGTGCGGAGGACTGGGCTAGCCCCCAGAGCCACGGCCACACATGCATGCACCCAGCAATCGAGTTGTCAGGTAAGCGGCGAAGTTGTCCACTGGCATAAGCCGCTAGCTCGCCCGCATAACTGCTTTGGTTTCAATCCGGCAGGTTTGGGCAAGTGCGCGCTATTGGCAAGTCCAAATAGGATGTAACGACCTTCAAGCCCTTTCTTGGACTGTGCTGGCTGTCTGCCTGAACCTAGCAGCGACGAATCTTCAAAAATTACCAAATAAACCGCCCTACTAAATACAGCTAATCAGCAGTCGCCGTTGAAGCTTACAAGGCCAGTTCGATTAGTAGCGGCTTGCATGGGAGAGTCTAGTCTTACACTGCAGTTCTAAGCTCGCTTGCTAGCGAAGGAGGAGCTGCTCTCTATGGCAGTTAGATATCAGACATTGCCGTCTGCTACCGTCGCCCATGGTTGAGTGGCAAATGTCTATGGCTCCCAAGGGTAAGGTCGTGTGTTTGAACCCTTAAGGATTCGTTGGGTGCGCGCTACTGACGGGTCGTAATAGGTGAAAACAGCGGTCTAGAGCTTGGCTGCGTTTGTGGAGACTGCCTTCCTTAGTCTAAGCGAGATGCAACTGTACAAAAGACCAAATAAACCACCTACTACCTACAAATACGATGGCTTCTCAGTGTATCCTACCTGTCGTCGTGCCAGGGCGAAAGATGGGTGTAGAAAAATCTAGAGCAACTTACCTGGAGACACTATGGAATTTAATCTCAAATATCACGTACTTTATGCGGCAAAGATGCTCCAACATAACTTACGTACAGTAAACATTAAGTGGTGCTGTCACAGAAATTACGTCAGTTTTTTTTCCATAAATCCTCCGAGAGCAGCCAAAATATTATTTCCCTTATGGACAAAAGCATATAATAGCAATGCAGTCTGACGCTTCTTATTCTGTTCACTTACACAAATGGCGAACAGCGGTGTCCAAAAGACCGCGGCCTACTAGACCTCATTGAGAATAAACATGCAACGCAATGCTCTGCTACCCACAATTCCCTTGTAAAAGCTTTGCTTGATGAAGTCCTCAACTGGGTTTGAAGGCTAGTTCTTTTTGGAAGACAACGCAAAGAACGTCCATCGTTTGGCACGTACGCAATAAAATCCTTAAACAAATCTTTATGTTTTTTGCACATATGTCCTGAGTTATGGCCGTAATATAGTCATTAACGTTACTTTCATTAAAAATGTAACCTAAAAAATAAATTGCAGATTACCGATAAAATGAAGTAAATCGTTGAAAGGCGTGATTAAGTGGGCAAAGCAGAACAGCTGCTTTAGAAGGATAATACCATCTGTTTAAAACTACTAAAACTGAAACTTTCGTAGTGTATACATGTGAACTTTATGGGATATTATTGCGATCTAGCACAGGATAGCGCTGCTTTGCGGAAAATCCAAGGTTACGACTGTGGTGGCAATAGCCAAGGTTCGACATGAGTTCGCCTTGTTTTGTTCCTTGAGTTACTGGGCACAGGAGCCAATGTACAGGGTCCATACAATTGTTTCTAGTTAAAAGCTAAGTCTCCGGGGCCTTTCCAGGCTTTTCCGTACCAAAATAAGTTGATTCTCCACTTCAGAAAGGGTAAGGTAAAGCTTTGTGTAGAAGCCTGCTGCTTGCGTTTATTATAATGGGTTTGCACTTCGGTCTTCCGTTTGTAATATAGTGATCCAGTGATATGTTTGGGAAATCAGTAGGTATGTACATGTAAATATGAGGCAGACGGAACCCATACGTTCCGACCTAAGGAGGACGGCATCCGTACAAAATGAGGAATAAATCCCTACCCGGACTTGTAAGTTGTACCGTCAGCAGAAATATCTTCTATTCAAATCCAGAGTCTCAGGAGGGTGCGTGTGCGGATGTTGCTTTTATGTCAACCGGTGCCAGCGATGGGTCCTACTTATGTCGGCGTCTCAAGTGGGATGCTCTGGAAAACGCTCAACGATCAAAATCAGCAAAAATGACAGTCAAACGGAAACGCCAAATAAAATGTGCGGTATTTGCAAATGTGTCTTACTTACTTTCCCGCTAAATGCGTTGTGAAGCTTGTATTTATGTATGTAAAATACACATGTACTTCTACTGTGGTCACAGACGGGAAACAATTTACAGAAAATTGGCAAAGGACCAGGTGCTCATGGTACAGGAAGAATAGGCGAATGATCGGCCCATTCTGAATAGTTTGAGTCTGAGAGTAGCCAGGACTTTGCGAGTGCGCCGACCGTAATACGAACACGGGTCGCAACCGTGGGAGGTTTGAATGATATGGTGCAGACGTATGCTTACACAGGCATACTGCCAGGAAAGGTGGGAAACTGGTCATTCGTTTTCGACTTGTTTTGGTTTTTACCTATAATCCGAGATACGCATTGAGTCTATATGCAAAACATTAAATAAGTATTCATGTTCCAATCGCATGCTACCTTTACTTTTTCTACATTACATCTATAATTGAAACACGTATTTAGCATTAGCTGTCAATTTTCTTGGCACAGTTCTTAAAACATAAAAGCAAGAAGTAATACAGGCAGCGCCTAAAAGAGCAAAGTGCGTTACGCCTAACCAGTTTAGCAATCTGCTTTACGTTCTCGCATCTCTCGGCAAATGAACAAGAAATTGCTGTGAAATAAATAACTAATTTATGTATTCTCCAAAACACAGTAGGCACTAGTAAGGGTGGGAGAAATTACAGGCCGTAAACTCAAACACCTTGAAACTAGTCACATAAATATTGAATTAAATATAACATGAAAGTTTCCCTGTTTGTACATTTCTTTAACTTTTCGTATAACCTTACAATCATCTTTAATTTTGGTGCCGGATCGCTGAAAAACTGAAGGAACGAACTATGGTAGCAACAGCCAAGGCTAGGTCAGATTTCGTTACTTTGTATGCCGTGTTATCCTGTACAAAACCGCCAAAACCATAGCTTGATGAAGAGATTAATTTGGTTCAGTGTTATATTTGAAGCATCAGGCTACGTGTAAACGGGCTCGAATTATATTTCTCAGCATCACTTTTGACAGTTCTCGATGATGCAGTGTGCTGTTAGGTCCTGCGTGTAGAAAATAACTGATGGAAATTCATCTTACCAAGCTTAAGATGAGAGAGCAAAGACTTGTAAGTACTTATTCCATGTACAAGTTAGCCTCTCAGCTAGTCCATTAGCAGCCGGATTATAATTCACCGTTTGGCACAATTAACGCCATTATTCCTAAGGAAATCAAAATAATTGCCACTACAATGCTGAGGCAAAGCATCAGGAGTTAAGTCACAGCAAACGATAACCACTGGCCCCTTTCTATAAAACAGCTTGCACTTCCATTTCCAATGCGGCGCGCTGACAAATGGAACCATGATATGGATGACAATTTTGCCGGTTGTTTAACGGGGTACGCAATGAGCCTAGCTACAGCTACCAAAGATTGCTTGTACGTGTCGGATTTTTGATTAGCTTCACACGTTCGAAACCCAGCTACGACACTGGGATTTATCTTCCACCACTGCTTTTAATCGTGTATTCTGGCCTTCATTTTCGCAAGGCCAGGATGACTCGCATGCGCGCAGTTGACCAAAACAGAACTAAGATTTTGAGTAAACGCGAGTTGGTCGCCAGCCTTAACACACTTACCCGCCTGCGAGATCTTCTCTTACCATCCCGCTAAACTCTGGTATTATTTAACTCGGTGGGTTTCCATCAAGGACTT